GAATTCCCAGAAAATGACAAATACAAGAATACTGGAAGAGCATCTAAAGCAAGAAAAGAATTAGTAGTGAGCACAAGAACATCAAAAAAAAAAATAAACACAAAAAAAATCATAAAAAAAGAAAAAAACAAACTAACCAGAAAACTACATAAATCAATGAAGAATCACCAAAAAATAACACAAAATCGATGAAGAATTACCAAGAAATGTCACAAAATCGACAAAGATCACCAAAAAATGACAACACAAAGTCTACTGAAAGAATGCCTAAAACAAGAAAGAAGAAAAGTTAGTAGCAAATACAAGAAACATCAAGAAAAAAAAAAGAAACAAAACTTCCTGGGAAACAATGAAATTCAATGAAAAATCACCAGAAACGACTGATATTAAGTTCATCGGAAGAGCACCTAAAAACAAGATAGTGAGCACAAGAAATACCAAGAAAAAAAATAAGTACAAAAAACCAAGAAAAAAAATTGAACACAAAAAGCACTAAGAAAGAAAAACTCACCAGAGAACAACACAAATTTGATGAAGAATCACCAGAAAATGATACAAATCTACTGGAAACCACCTAATACAAGAAAGAGAGTTAGTAATAAGCACAAGAAACACCAAAAAAAAAAAAGCAAGACTCACCAGAGAACAATGCAAATTCGAGAAGAATCACCAGAAAATGACACAAGTCCACCAAAGAAGACCTAAAACAAAAAACACAAAAAAAAAAATGAATACAAGAAACATCAAGAAAAAATAAAAGCAAGACTCACCAGAAAACGAAGAATCACCAAGAAGCGATGAAAGTCTACTGGAAGAACATCTAAACAAGAAACACTCAAAAAAAAAATGAATATGAAAAACACCAAAAAAAATTGAACACAAAAAAAAAAACTCATCAGAGAATGATGCAAATTCGAAGAACCATCAGTAAGTCCACCAGGAGAACGCCTAAAACAAGAAAGAGTGAATATAAAAGTGAAAAAAAACATACAAAAAAAAAGAAAAACTTACCAAAGAGCAATAGTTTTGTGTTGTGTTTTCAGCAATATTTCAATGAGTATCTCTCTCTTTTTTTATCCTTATTAGATCTTCATTATTACATGAGAACAATGTCGTTTTGTATAGTATTTTTATTATTATTTACGCATGTGTTGCTCATTGCTATGCGTTGCTGCTCATCGTTGTGCTGCTCATATGTATATGTATACCATTTCATTTCATTTCACTCAGGAATAATGATCTTATTTATCATCTTTAGTACCCGGGTTTTATCAAAAAAAAGTGTATTATACATGGCAATATACCCATAGGTACTTAACCAAAAGTGGATACACAAGACAGGGTATTGTGATATGGTTGTATTATGCGTCAATAATTTTCAATTAAATCTATTAAATCTTAATACCCAGATCTTATACAATTTTTTGAGATTTTTTTTTGTAATGTATCTGGATATTATTTGAAGAGAGATATTAAATAGGGGTACTAAAGGCAGTGCGGTATAGTATATCAAATTTATCATAATGATTTATACTATTTATTTCTTTTGATATTTAGTCTATTTGGCTTAGAAATTGTCGATTATATACTATATACTATATGGCACTGACTACAGTACCCTGGGTACTATTCAACCAACTATTAAATTTTTTGAATAGTACCCTCCTGGGTACTAATTACAGGAGAGAGTACTATAACAGGAGGATACTTTACATAGTTTAATATTAGTTTAATAAGGATTCATATATAAATAATATATATATCTAACTAGAATAATACTCTAGTCTTATTCAATCTTCTGAATCACGAACCCATGAATTGTACCTGGGCCTTTTTTATAGGGGGTATTATAGCAGAGGATACTATAGTCAGTGCTATACAGTACTTTGTTTCGAATTAAATCATGATTATTGATTATGCTTTATTATATTTATTTTCTTTATTCTCTTGATATTTCTGTATTTGTTTCATTTGATCAAATAAGATCATTGTGCTAAAACAAAAGTCATTACAGCCTGGTTAAATAAAATATAGCCTGCAAGATCTTTTATTAATTAAATGCATATTACTATAAATGTAAAATATATTGCCTAGGGGCATTTTCAAATGTTTTAATCAATGAGGCAAAAGTAGGGTCTGGAATCGGGCTGGGCTACCCAGGGCCCGGCCTGACCTGGCCCACAAAAGTATTGGTTGGGCCCGCATCTCTAGGCCCATAATTAGAATGAGCTGGGCTCAGATTAAGCCCGTTAAACTATCGGGTCGGGCTGGGCTTTGCAAAAAAAGCCTATTAGCTCATGTACTCTATTTAATCCTTTTTTTAAATTTAATATTAACATGACTTTGAGAATATTGTAGGTAATTACAGCTAATGATGACTGATGAATGTCGAAACCTTTTGTTACTGACGAATGACGAAACAATTTCATCAGACAACTTCGAATTGACGAATAACAAATGTCGAATGACGTAACTCGTGACGAATGACATAACTCATGACTAATGACGTAACTCATGACAAATGACGTAACTCATGACGAAACTCATTGGAATAATAAATTTTAGATGTAAGATATATACGTAGGTACATATTTATCTTTTAGGAATTATTGAGAACTGATTTATTTCTAGATTCTTATTATACTTACACTAATAAATTTTAAAAAATTTGACGCAACTGCATTAGACTTGCATTCAATATAATAAGTCATTCAACTTATATTCAATATATCAAATAATATGTCATGTGGCTTCTGTGGCTTCATGGATATTAATGTCCGTGAAGCTACAGAAGCCATATGACATATTATTTGATATATTGAATATAAGTTGAATGACTTATTAGAATAATGAAACTCATGACGAAACATAAATTTTATATGAAAAATATAAGAAAAATTTAAAAACAGGACCTATTCTTTAGGAATCATAGAAAACTAGTTAATAGAAGTAAATTAATCCATGTAAATTTAATTTTTTATTCATTATTATATCTGCCTGGTTTGTTATGTTTTTTTGACATATTTATCTGACATTTCCCAATGATTGGCATTACTCACCCGGATGTATCCGATGTGTCTGATGAAGAAAGAACTGATGAAACTTTTTAATGAAATAACAATAAATTTGAAAATTTTATGATTCAGAATATCCAGAGAACGTAATAAAGGAGCTTGTTGAAAGATGGTCCACTGCATTTTTATATTTTATCAGTCAAAGTAATTTCGTCAAGAGTTTCATTAGTTATGTCAATCGTCAGTTGTTATGTTATTTCGTCAAGTTTTGTCAGATGAAACCATTGATGAAACCATTTTGTTAACGCCAAATAGTTTCATCAGGCATCATAAATTACAGCTGTTCTTATAAATTTTTAGATATTGATGAAAAATTGTCTGAATGATTGTTTAGCCAATTTGATAAGCTTGTGATTTCAGTAATGAAATTATGTAATAATGTGTATATCTTTGCTAAATTGCACTTTGTGATTTCGATAATGATTAATATAAATAATATAAATAAATAATGGTTTTATAATGTATATAGAACTATTTTTATCTTGCTAAATAACATTTTTAAGGCATATTTATAGACAATCGTTAACATTTGGAAGGCTTAACATTTTCAGACATCTTGATGTTAGCAGGTCTTCTGTAAGTCAAATTCTCAAACATTTTCAAAAAAATAGATGTGTTGAAAAGCTTCTAGCACTTTTATGGATACCATGGTTATTAAATCACTACCAAATTACAAACTTAACAAATTGTCCAAACAATCATTCGGTCAATTTTTCACCAGATGTCCAAAAATTTATGAGAACAGCTATAATATATCAGATGCCTGAAGTTATAACCTGCTTAAAGTTGTAACTGAAGTTGCTTTTGGCCAAAATTAGTTCCTGAAATTAGATCTTCTTGCACACAATTTTATGCTAACTTCAGATACAGCAGAAATGAATTAGGTAAATAGTATATTGTGAGTTTAAAACAAACTCAATTTTCTGTTTCCCAGCTATAAATACTTGGCAGGATATTTATCAATCTAAATATTCGAATAAACTATAGTAATTTCATTTTATTCACAATAATTATGTATTTACAATTTATAAAAACATTGAGCTATTCAAGTTCATTAATTTTCTATTTATTATTCTCAATACTTAAACACATGAAAAAATATGAATTTTCAAATAAAGTTATTCAAGTTAATGAATATTTATGATTAAAATTTTATTGGATTGCGAAGGTTAGATTCTAAGCATAAAAATGCTTATTAGATTATGTATTCAAAACAAGTTATTCAAGTTTGTGAATCTATTATTAATTTATAATAATTTGTGGACAAATTTGTAGGTAAATATCAAAACATTTATCAATTTAAGTATTTAAAATATGCTTCTTAAGTTTTAATATTTAATATTATGAATTATTCGATAGACTATTAGAAAAAATCAACAGAAATTAATACAAGTAGTACAGCAAGGGTTTTTTTTGCTAAAAAAGAATCTACTTTATGATTAAGGATGCTGGTGAAATTAAACCAAAATAGTGAAATAATTTTACTACTATTGGTGTGTATTGTAATATTAATTTCATCAGCATCTTTATTTTTTATATCAGCATGTATATATCAAGATTGATTGCGTAATTATTACCTGTTCTTACCAGATTGTGATATATGTATATGCAATAATAAATAACAATAATTGTTTGATTATTTAAAGTTAAATTTAAGAATCAATTAAACTGGTATGAAATGCACAATGTTTTAGTGTATTTCCAAATTGGTAAATATGCAATTCGCTATTTTAATAAAAGTTTTTTCATAACGCGAAGATAAATTCAAAATATTAGTTCTTTGTGAACTTAATTTTTATTTCGTCATTAGACTAATAAAGTTTATGATTTAATCTAATTACTCATTACAAATAAGAATAAAAGCATGTAGAAACAGCATTTTAAATCATTGCATTAAAAAAAAAAGAAAAAAACCAATTTAGAAATATGGATTTAACCATTAGTGAAAGTTTGAACGAAAGTTTTGAAGTAACTTCTTTAGACAAAAGTGCTGATATAACTATAAGCGAGGACAAAAATTTTGAAATAACTTCCTTAGACAAAAGTACTGATCTAACTATGAGCGAAAATGAAAATTTTGAAATAACCCTACTACCTCTGCTACCAAAAAACATAAGGCTCCGTCATGGGTTTTTATGGGTGAACATTTTGCCAAACTGCCAAGTAATGTATAATTAATGTCATGAATTATAATAAAATCGGATTTGGATTAAAATGAAATTTGAAGTTTCTATTTAACTTTCTAAATCCCAATTATACTTGTACCCCTAAGCTAACCCGTAATGCTAAAAAAAAGGCCAAAAAATTGATCCTAAAATTTTGTGTTTTTTTGTGGATTGTCTGGCTTGTCTATTTTACACTACATAAAATTTCATTTTAATTTGATTTCATTGTAATTTGACACAATTAATATTCATGCATTAGATTTGTTTTTTGTAGATATTTATATCAATTATATAATTTGTTAGATGGTCGTGCTCAGTGCATGTACTGTAATAGGACTCTAAAATATGACAACAACACTAAAACAAGTTCTTTAATTCGTCATCTAAAGAATACAAAGTGTAGTTAGTATAACAAACGTCATCGTTTTCTCACGAATTTTCTTAGGAAAAAAGTCGTCAGGATTTGACAAACATGATTGTTATGCATGAATATCCATTTCGCATAGTTGAACACCAAGGATTTTTAAAATTTATTAACAACTTGCAGCCTCAATTTAGAGTGATGAATGAAAAAACAATACATGAAGATTGCAAGAAAGTTGTTGCAAACCTTGAGATAAAAGTTCGTGAGATGATATATAAAGCTCCTGAACATTTGAGCTTTACGACCAATATGTGGACATCAAACCAGAATACTGAATATATAGTCATCATATGTATTTGTTCATTAATGTGCTTATTTTTTTTAGTTATACAGGTGACTCTCATTAATATCGGATTAGACAATTATGTTGATAAATATGAGGGTTAATAAAAACAATATAAAATTTATATGGTTTGAACAAGTTTAGGTTGATATTAATGAGGGTTGATATTAACAATGTTGATATTAACGAAAGTCACCTGTATGTTTAATTACCATATTTTTTTTTATGTCTCTATATCTTTCTTAGATCATTTTATCAATAATAATTGGAACCTTTGAAAACTAATTATAGCATTTAAATCTATTCCTGCACCGCATACGGGAATTTCTATTAGTAGCATGCTTTTTGAATGCTTTACTAATTGGAGTATTGTATCTAAAGTAAGTAAATAGTAAAGTAAAGGGAGGTAATTTAGCGCACTTATGAATTGTTACAAGTAAAATTCTTCTAAAAAAGTTGAATTTTTACAAAGTTTATAGAGCTTATGCATCCATTCATATACTTTAATAAAATAAAAAAAAGGCAACATTTATAATAAAATATAAGCTATTTTATTATTCGTTTAGAACCATTGAAAAAAGTAAGATTTTAAATTCGGAGGGTAATTTGGCGCATCGAGCATCACAATATATAACATATGCATATAGGTACATACGTACATCAATTTTCTATATACAAATAAATGTTTTACATAAGACAAACAGGATTTCTTACTAAACAAATCTAATTATATCTACTAAGTAAAGTTATTGGCAAATTGTGGCGTGATTTGGTTAAGTTTTTATTAAACTATTTTCATGTTATACATTTGATACAAAAAGTAAATATTTTGCTCAGGACGTATAATATGAAAATTGATTAATGAAGAATTAATCAAATTGCATCAAAATCTGAATAGTAAACAGTATTTTCAATAATTTTACTTAGTGGATGAAGTTCGACTTGCTTAGTAAAAATCTTGTTCTAATAAGTTATTTTCGATGCACCAAATTACTCCCTGCGCCATTATACCTCCATTTATCTTAAGTAACTAGATTTTTTTTATCTGTATATTTATTAATATATTTATTATTTTCATAGGTGTTTGCAATTACCTTAGACAATGCAAATAACAACGATACTGCAATAACTAATTTAAGGCATATGCTTAGTGAACAGAATATAAGCATTGCATATAAAATTTTTTTGCATCAACATTGTTGCGCTCACATTTTGAATTTAATAGTTTCTGATAGGCTTAAAACGGTTAAGGATATTGTTAGTAAGGTAAGCAAATTATTATTCTTAATTGACATGATTTAAAGAAAATTGACTTTTGCTATATATTAATATTATAGGTTAGAAATTGTGTGAAGTGGATCTATAATTCAGAACGTCGGCAGCAAAATTTTGAGGATCTTATTGTTGGGTGTTATAACGAACTTATTTCAAAGCAACGACCTACTCTTGATATAATAACCTGCTGGAACTCGACTTATATTATGTTGGCATCCACTATTCCTTATAAAAGTGTCCTTGAGTGTCTATCATTCCGGGATACTAGCTTTGAGCCAATCGTACCTTTGGATGAAGATTGGAAAAAGGCAGAAATTCTCTGTAATTTCTTAAAACTATTCTATGAAAGTAAATAATTTATATATATTTAATATTTATTTTTAATTATTTTATATAAATATAACTAATTAATATTCATTTCAATATAGTTACTAATCTTATATCGGGAAGCACCTATTCTATTGCAAATATTTTTCTTCCTCAATTATTAAAAATTAAGATGCATCTCGAACAGAATTGTACTAACTCGGATCCTTTTCTTTGCCAAATGTATAAGCCAATGCAATTAAAATTTAACAAATATTGGGCCGATATGGAAGATACACACTGCATTGCATCAATATTAGATTACCGTTACAAAATATCATTTCTAGCTTATATGTATAAACAAAAAATGAAATTACCATATACTGAAGCCAATGAGAAATTAACTTTGATTAAATCGAAATAATTTATTTTTATTTTAAATATTACTGTGCGCCATTGCCATAGCAGTGTAATGCGATTTTTTACATAATAAAGATTAAAAATCAATGCATAAAAAATTTCTACATTATTTGTTACATTGGATACTAAAAGCAGTGGCGTTCTAAAAAATTCGGCAATACTAATATATATATTAATTCTACATATTATTATAGAGCTGTGACTATCTATAATTCAATATATCTGCAGCATAAGGCTTGTTTTGGCAGTACATCTGTAGAAAATATTATTGAAAATGATGAAATGCATGACTTCGACTTATTTCTTGAGGACAATAATCTAAGTACAATAAATGAGTTCGAACAGTATCTATATGATCCACTTGTTCCACATTCGTGTTCAGAGCTATTTGATATTTTAACTTGGTGGAAGGCAAACACACAAAGATACCCTTCAGTATTATTAATGGCAAGAGATATTCTTGCAATTTCAGTAACATCTGTGGCTTCAGAATCAGTTAATAACTTACAAGCCTATATAGTTAATGTTTTTAAGAATAAAACTGACTTGTACTTTATTTTTAGGCGTTTAGCACCGCTGGAAGAATTATTGATGAATATCATTCGAACCTTACTTCAAAGACGGTTGAAATATTAGTATGTGGTCAAGATTGATTAAATAGTATAGAAAAATGGGGCCAGAATAGCAATTAAATAGATGGTTTTGTTTTTTTTCCTGAAATAGCTATTACGTATTAGTTCAAACATATGCAGTTACATAATAGATACATTAAAATGTGATTATTTTTTTGGGATTGGTGCAACATTTGCATATTTTAAGCAAATAATAAATGTACATAATGTGTAATCCTTACAATTATCATTTGTTATTTCACAATTACAATTGTTATGAAGTTAGTACGTATTGTACATACGAACATACGTATATATTAAATAAATGATTCTTAATATTATGATTGTTGCTATTTGAATTTTAATGATCAGAAAGAGCAAAATTTACAGTTTTAGAATTTATAAATTCTAAGTTGTTTTACGAATTAATGATAAAAATATTTAGTGTTACTTACAAACTTGCTAAGTATGCAAGGAAATCTACAATTGACAAAATTGACAACTATCTTAATTCAGCATTGCACAAAAAAAGAGTGTGTGAATTTCTGAAAAACAAAATAATAATAAATAAGGGCCCAAGCTAAAAATTATTACAGATAAGGGTCAAAATTTTGAAAGATTTTACTACACAGTATGACTTTATACGTTTGATATTATTCCTTTCGCTTGATGAACTTACTTTTAACCAAGGTATAGTTCGATTAGATATTTATCAATCTTGTAATGTTTATCTGGTTCTAAACTAATATATCTATCCTATACCAAAACTAGTGAATCATATTTTGTGAAGATTACTATGTGTTGATTGAAGATATTTAGAACTGCAAAAACAATTTGTATTCGTAAAGAAAGTTAAATTAATCATAGTTTTTATTGATTACAAAAAAATATTTGCATTTAATGACCAAAAAATATATATATTTATATAATTCTAAAAGCTAGCTACGATGAATTCGGACCTTTGATTGTAATATTTTTTTAAAATCTGGATCCTTACTTGCAGGTTGGGCTTTTACCTATAATGATTTTCATTTTCAGGCAAGAAATCATTTTGTAGTATCATC